ATGATTGATTGAAATACGATATGTTGAAATATTTATGAATATTAAGTTATAATGAGATAATATGTTGTGTTTTCTTATGTGCTATATATATAGATGTTTTCTTTTCTCACCGTGCGATTTGTGGATATTTTAGGTGAGGAAGATCCGGCTACGAGTGACATCTAGAATGCTAACGGTTGAGTTGTGGGTATGCTCTGATATTGTGACATCGGGGCAGAGGATTTTCTTTAGGACATAGATTGTTATATGGAATTAGAATTGTAAATATTATTTTTGAAAATCATTTGTAAACTCCCACGTTTCATTTTTATTGTCGTGGTTGTTGAAGAATAATTTTGAAGATTCTCATGTGAACCCTTTTATCGAAACTGAAAATTGTTTTTGTTAAGTTTTCATTATTACAATACATGTGTTGGGGTAGTAAGGGTGTCACAACAACAACCATGTTTGGAACGACCCGTTCTCAACTAGGATTTACAGGCCTATTTAGTAGTCTGGAACAAACGGCCCGTTCTGGGCTACTAAATCACTATTGTTTTAGTAGTTTGGAACGGACCGTTCTAATTTTGGAACGCTCCGTTCCAGTCTACCAACTGCGTTATAGGTATGTTATTATTGAATAAATTATTGAGCATTGATATGCTATACTTGGATGAGTTATTAAGCATTTATATGCTATATTTGATTGGTATGATTTGATCTTTATAGATATTGACCTAGGATAATACATATAAACAATGATTATATGGTTGAATTAGCAAACATTGATATGATGTACTTGAGTTACATGTTGAGCATTGGTATGTTATTTTCTGTTGAGGTGTTAACTATTGATATGTTATACATGATTGTATGATTTGATCTTTATATTAAATAAATTTCAAAACAACAATCTATAAAATAATATTAAAAACACAATATCATTACTTTATAATATTAAAAACTAACAAAAACACAATTTTGTAAATTTTTAATCTTAAAAATATATAATTGTTTTCAAATAAAATATATTATAATATTTTAATCTTTTTCGATTGTTAAATTTTAACAATACTATTATGTTACCTGTATGACGTACGGGGCAATTTATTCTTTTAGAATAATATGAAACAATGATAAGAATGAGGATTTTATATATATATTGATTTCCAAAAATAAGTTTCTCAAGAAAATAAGATAAAAAAAAGGACAAATATTAATGCACAATATTGTTATGAACTACATATTACTATTTTCTTGCAGCAAATTAACTAAAGTTGTGTGCATAATCATAAAAATATTATCAAAATATTGTGCTAATGCATATAATAATTTATTTTCTATAAAAATAGGACCTTAAAAATGATCATTGATTGATCATTAAAATGAAGTCAACAATAATATTATTTTAAAAATTTAGTTTAGCTTTATAATATTTTTTCATTAGTAATTTTTTTTAATTTTTAAAGCATGAAAGCAACATGGAAAAAAAATGAATCTCTAAAGTAATAAAGGCTACAAACTATTGAATTTGTATTCTAAAGAAATTGAAACAAATTTAATTAGAGATAAAAGTGATTAAAAATCAGGTACAAACTATTGAATTTGTATTCCAAAGGAATTGAAACAAATTTAATTAGAGATAAAAGTGATTAAAAATCAGGTACAAACTATTGAATTTGTATTCCAAAGGAATTGAAACAAATTTAATTAGAGATAAAAGTGATTAAAAATCAGGTACAAACTATTGAATTTGTATTCCAAAGGAATTGAAACAAATTTAATTAGAGATAAAAGTGATTAAAAACCAAAATAATTGTGCAAGAACATTTTCTTTGATTTTAAGCTAATATAAAAAAAAAGTGTTGTTAAATTAAAGACAACAATATAGTTTTCTCTGCATTCACCATTTGAATTAAAGCATAAAAATACTATCAAAATGTCTAATAAATAAATTGAAAAGGAATTACTTCTTAAATTTTTCAGATCTATAGTTACCGTATAACATTACTTTCAAATATTTATAACATATCTTTCATATCATCAATATAGACATAGTCACAATGTGATTAAATTAACATACCAAAAATATATTAAATTAATAATTTCATATAAGCAACTTTCTTAACCTCATACAGTCTATATCCTTTTATAAAAGTATTTATAAGGTCACTAAATTGTAAAGACCCAACAATCAAGAAATTTGATTTAAATTATTAATTTTATTACTGTTTGAATACGGTAAATTTTATTATAAAAAGAATGCACAAAAGTATAATGAAATTAATCTTATTAATAATTTTTTTTAATTTTTATTTTGAGTCAATAAAAAATTTCTTAATTATTTCAAATTTGAAAACAAATGCATTTGAAATAAAAAATATTCCAAATATTAACAATTTTATATAATAAGATATTTTGAATTAATAAAAAGTTTATTATTTTCAATTTGGACGAAGACTTTTGAAAAAAATTTACTCAAAATGTTAATAATTTTATATAATAAAATTTGGACGAAATTTTTTGGAGGAAAGGTTATTTCAAATATTAACAATTTTATATAATAAATTAATAATTAGTTTTTAAACCTTATTTTGAGTTAATAAAAAGTTCTTTAATTAATCCCAATTTGGAACAAAACTTTTGAAAAAAAAAATTACTCCAAATGTTACAACTTTATATAAGATTTGGAAGAAAATTTTTTGAGAAAAAATAATTCTAAATATTAACAACTTTATATAAGATACATCAACATTTATAATAATAATAATAATTAGTTAAATTGTATATTTGTCTTTTATATGTTTAATTCATAATTTTAGTTCTTTAATTTTGAAATCCATAATTTTAGTCTCTAATTTTATAAAATTCACAATTTTAATTTTTTTATTAAATATTTACTTGTTGATTGTTAAAATTATAATATTGATCATGATCTAATATAAAATAAATAACATAGCATTTGTTATTTGGTAATACTTGGTCTAAATTTTACTTTTAGTTTACTTTCTTATCTCACAAAAGTAGTAAAATGACATGAAAATGAAATAAAAATAGAAATTAAAAACACAATTTAGTCTAAATATTATTAAATATCAATTATCATGTCATCTATCTATGCTCGAAAGAAAGTGAGGAATTGGAGCGAATGAAAAGGAAAAAGTGAAAATTAATTAGATAGAAAATAAGTAATCTAGTAAAGTAGGCCTACCTCCTTAAAGTAGGGTGGATTAGCCTAAAAAAAAATTGATAAATGCAATCCATCTCACTTAGTGGTGAATTGGCAAATTGACCTATTTTAGTGGGTTAGTTAGTTAAAAATGTTGGGTTGACAAATTGACACACCTTTAATCCACCTAATTTTATTTAAAAAAAAACTTTAATTGAAATATTTTAATATACATTATCACTTCAACCTATATTTTATTGTTATTTGTAAAAATTAATTAGAAGTGTTATATTTTTTTTAGAGAATGGACAAAGTAATATATATTTTTATTAAAAGCGATACGAGTTGATCCACGTTTAAGCAAAGTCAGGAGTTCGAATCCTGCCTTGTGTATGCAGCCGCGTTAAATCTTGCGACTAGCTATCCTACCCTTTGAGGTGCCTCTAACTTAACTAAAAGATTAGTCACTGCTATAGACGGTGAATACTCTACAGACGAACGAGAAAAAAAAATATTTCTGTTAAAAAAAATATTATACATGATAAAAAATTAATTTTAAGAAATATTAAAATAATATTATATTAAAAACTGTGAATCCTCTACAAACCAAATTTTTACCGATCTTTTGAGCAAGTTTTTTCTAGACCGCTTTTGTGATTCATTTGAATCACTGGTGTAACTAGTTCACTCATTTTATTCTATAGGTGTGAACATTGTTTCTCCATCAACGGAAACAATTTTATCAAAGCTGGGAGCAACACACGCCCATGATGGACACAGATCATATTTCTGGGATCAACAATCAATGGATGCCAGGATATTAGCTCTCTTTCTAGCGTTTCTAAACTTTGATTCCTCCTCTTAAAATAAATAATGTTTCACCTAATGAATAATCAAATATACTAGTAAGACATAAGTTATTAGTATTTTATTTGTTGGCAATTTTCACACCATTAAGCAAGCATCAAGAAGGCTTTATTGAAGACATTATTTGCAGGTTTAGTTTATTTTATTTTATTTTTTATTTTAGACAATACAATACTTATTCTGTTTAATTTATAGAACACACACCAAAGAGGGTAACACTACACAACACAACACAACACAAAGCGAAAATGCCAATTTCAACGTCTCTTACCTTAACACCCACAATCCCAAGAATCGCTGCAACGCACACTTTCAACCATTCCCAATCCACCCTTCTCACATTCTCCCCAATTTCCAAACCCTCCCCTCTACGCGCCTTCCTCCCCCTCACCTCACGCGCCACCACGCGCCGCCGTTGCGCCGCCGTGGGCCCCGTGTGCCTCTTCACCGGCATCGTGGAGGAGATGGGCACCGTGAAGCACCTGGGCGAGGGCGCGGACGGCGGCTACGACCTGAAAATCGCGGCTTCGACGGTCCTGGACGGCGTGCACCTCGGCGACAGCATCGCCGTTAACGGCACGTGTCTGACGGTGGCGGAGTTCGACCTGAAAGTTTCGGACTTTACGGTGGGGCTGGCGCCGGAGACGCTGCGGAAGACGTCGCTGTCGGAGCTGTCGGTGGGGTCGGCGGTGAACCTGGAGAGGGCGGTGACGCCGGCGAGCCGCATGGGGGGGCACTTCGTGCAGGGTCACGTGGACGGCACGGGGGTGATTGTGTCGATGGTGCCGGAAAAGGACTCGCTTTGGGTGAAGGTTAGGGCTGAAAAGGGGATTTTGAAGTACGTTGTGCCTAAGGGGTTTATTGCTGTGGATGGTACTAGTTTGACTGTGGTGGATGTGTTTGATGATGAGGGGTGTTTCAATTTCATGTTGGTGGCTTACACTCAGCAGCATGTGGTGATTCCTCTCAAGAAGGTTGGGGACAAGGTGAACCTTGAGGTGGATATTCTCGGCAAGTATGTGGAGAGGCTTCTTGGTAGTGGTTTTGTTTCCTCTTATGCTCATAACAACTCTTGATTCTCTTGTTAAGAGCCAAAAAATTTATTTTTGTTAAGAGGGGATTTGATTTTTCTTGGCTTGGACTGGTCCTGGTGTGGTTAGGTTAGAAACTCAATAACAGGATCAGGCATTGAACTGGATTTGAATGTGTTGTAATTTGTAACATTTATGTTCATTAGGGGTTGAGTCAGCGGGGAATCAACTGACTTTATAGAGTTTATATGTTTTTCTTTGTTCTTGTTTGTTCATTTGTCTTATAGATTTTTTTAAAGTGAAACGGATCAAGTAAAATGGTTATATGAGTTTTAGTACTAGAGAAATGTTAGCAACATGTTTTCTATTACACTTTCTATGGGAAATCACAAAATTGTGCAGGTCTCACTTCTTATTTAATGAATCTTACTTATGATTTTGTAATTTTCAATAAATTTTAATCAATAAGAGAGTGTATTTGCCACCGTGTTATCTGCACTGTTCTCTGGTACTAAGGAATGAATATGCATGGAGTATTGGACTATGCAGTCAAGCTTTAAATGGATGATCTTATGCTGCTTGAGCTTATTATAAACTATAATTGGAGGATCTCAAATTCTGCTTGAGTAATATATGGTTGAGTCTTGATTCTTGTGACTCAATTTATGCACACACATGTATAATATTAAGCAGCACCGCAATGGCTTGTGTTTCATGTACATTGTTATGGATGTCATGAGTGGATAACATTAAGATTAAAAGACGCTTCTAGTTCTGTTGAATATCAAAGTCATGTCTGATTGCTGATATTACTTTGAGTTTGAAGAGAGTGATTGCTCCAATGCCTTGGTACATGTGAGGTACATAGTTGTGGTAGCCTTTACCATGGTGTGAAGTTGTATGCTGTATAAATTTTGTGGTAGTTATGGGTTGGAGGCAAACCATGTATAAAGACTTGAATTTCTTGAAGTTTAGTATGTGTCTTTGTGCCCATATCCTCCACGTGTAAGAGATTATTGTACTAGTTAGATAAAGATTTAACTTACTGTGGTCAAAGTTAGTTGGGCTGAAAGAATAAATAGGGGAACATAGAGAAGGAAGAACAGTTATTCTGTAATTGAGAAAATAGTGGGAGAGAGCCCTGGATCTCCCAAACATCCAGCAAGCCCTTATTGTTGTGAAGCTTTCCAATTCCCACTACTGTTCTGCATTGGGCAGGACTGGGACATTGAGTTCTTCAATAAAGAATTATATATTCACTCTTTTACTATTCACCAATCTGATCCATTTTCTATCAACATGTGACTCTGATCTGAATATTGAATTTGCTCAATCATTGTGCCTCAAGTTGGCTAATTCTTTAATTAGCACCGTAGATGATTCTTGTACTGCTCTTGATACTACAAGTGAATCTCAATTAGATTGAAAGATATTAATACTTGATCTGTTTTGCTTTTCAGCACCATTATTTTTATGTTTATATAAACTGCCAGATACCTCAGCAGGGTTGGTTGATAAACATGCCTGGGATGTGGAATGATGTGATTACACCTTGTTCTTTTATTTAGACACTTCCCTGTTTTGGGTTCACTAATGCTTATTTTTTCCATTCATAAAGTTTGAATCCTAGAGGAGAATTAAACTTATTGTAACTAGGCTAAAGGTGTTGGTATGATCATGAGTACTAGAATAGCATGTTGGTTCCATTTTGGGAAATATCAAAACTGGTTTTATATCTACACTATTTACCTAGCCCAGCCATCACCCTTTTTAAAATTGTATCAAATGGGCTTTCTGGAAATGACAAAATGTATTATGTATAGAAGGGTAAAAGGCATCAGAGACCCTGTTATTGTTACAAGATGAAAATATTTTCAATTTAACCTTGCAATGCCATTAAATTACCTAGCCACACCACACGTTCAATTATTAGTAAATTAAAGAATGTCAAAGTATCACTCTGAAGGCCCATTTGGGAATGAATGTTGAGTATGTTATTATTGTTCGTATTTGGGGTCCAAATTTTGAAGTCCAAAGTACTTGGAATATTGGGCCAATGAAGACAACTCCTAGTTTATCACGTACCTAAATGCTTTCTGTCTAATCAATATTCAATTTCCCATTATGCTTTATCCTTGTGAATACTTCCCTTATTGGTTGGAATTTTTGAAGGGACATCAAAGTAACAGTACGTCCTCGTGTTATGTTTGGATGAGGGATGAAATTAAAAAATAAAGGAAAAAATATGAGTATGAGAAATAGAGGAGATACAAGGTGCCAATAGAGGTTGACACATATGGTTGAGTCTTCTGTTCATGCTAGCGGTGACTTGAATTCGATTCTTAGAAATTTTCTGTTGATAGGCAATACGGAAATTTCATTATAAATCCTAACTGAAGTTGGTGAATTTTCTTGACCTTGCAAGAAATTTCTCATAATTTAAACTTTCCTTTACCAAGAAGGCAATATAAAGTTACCAAGATGTAGTGTTGGGTAGATATAGGAGAAAGAAAAAAGATTTTTTTTTACACGTTTGGATAAATAAAAGACTGAAAAGAAATAATAAGTTGTACAATAATAGAAATATAATTTAACAAAAAAATAAAATTTTTATTATACAATTTTTTCTTCTTAGTAAAAAAATTTAAATTATATATTTTTTATATTATGTAAAATATTATTTAGCATTACAAATTATTAAAACAAAAGAACCTTGCTTTTGAGGAAATATTTATTTAAGTTTTACCTTTCTCTTATCACCTTCAAACAAACATTATTAAATATTAAAGGCATATTTATGTCTACTGATGTAAGTACCTTATTGGTGAATAATATGTAAGTACTTCTATAAATGTTCATCGAGTGTAAAGACATATCCTAACCCTAATGAGCTCACAAAATTTAACTCACATAAAATTTCCTAATTAAAAAAAATGTATGTTTGGATTGACATCTAAGAATGTAACGACCCGACTGGCCATTCACTCACCACCAAAACACACCAGAAACACTAGACAGAATAGAACAAGTATATAAATATAGAGTCTAGAATATAAGTATATACATATGTCCCGAATCTGACTAGAGTTAGGGCACGTAATATAGGGATTACATCAAAAGTCACTCTGCCAAGTGACCAAAACAAACAGAACATCCACAGAAATCAGCTCCATCTATCGGCTGCCGACTCATCACTATCCATCACCTATCCCTGCTCTGCTCTCGTACACAGTACGATCATAGCAGTCCAATCACATGGAAACACAAAGGGTAAGCTAGCATAAAGAAAACAACATATAGCAAGATTTTTAAGAAAATATAAACAACCACGACTATTTATGCTTCATCAACATACATTCTCTCGATTTTCAACGTGATCATCAATAAGCATACAATGCGTCGTCACGCATATCAACTCGAAGATCTCCTACAACAACTCAGCCTTTCGGCCTACGTCAACTCAGCCTTACGGCCTACAACAACTCAGCATTGCGGCCTACAACAACTCAGCCTTGCGGCCTACAACAACTCACATCAATATTCCAACACAACATAACTTATACATCTCAACATATCAACTCACAACACAACACAAACGTACAACTCAACATATCAACTTCACAGTTCAACAAATCAGCTACAACATAACACCACTTCTCAACACATTCATCAGATACAATTCAATATCAATAATAACTTTATCTGCTAGACATCAAATTATCAATGATTTAAAATATTTTTTTTATACAATTATTTTTTTCATTATAGGTTTATAAGCTTACGACTTGTGCATGATCGTACATCAATACATGATTACACATGAATTGTTTCTTCAATAGAAAATGATTTAATTTTCTTCTATATTTCTTTTAAAATTTAAATTTTAACAATATTAAGTAAATTATATTTTAAAAATAATTTTGTTGATTTTTAAAAATTAAGTTTATTAACCTAATTAATATTAATAATTTAAATATATTTTTAAATATGATAATTGGTGAGACTAGATTTTAAAATGGTCAGGCTAGACCTATAAAGAAAAAGCTAAAATAAATAATAGACTAGATTTAAACTTTAATTTTGCAGTATAGACCCAACCTATATATTATATTCAAAGCTTAGCTCGACTAACCCATTCTCATTCATAATGATCATTAAATTCTAAGGAGTGTTTGTTAGAAGGTAATTTTTTTCATGCTCGAATAATTATAAGATCATAAACCTTAAGAATTATGATTCCCAATAATGATTAAATATATGTTCAACTGATCATAAATATTTTAAAAAATATTTGTAAATGTTAATTAAAATAAAAAATTACTATAATAAGTAATAACTGAACAAATTAAGGTAATGTAATATTTTTAGTATTATAAATTCCTTTTTAACTCAAAAGAATATTAGATTATCTCATTATCCCATTAAAATAATTTCGTAAGAAACAAGTATAAAAAGCATTTATAAGAAATCGTGTTTCTAAAAATGTTATGTTTTATATGATAAATCAAACGTGCAAAATTAAGATTCTTATAAAAATAAAAATATTTTGGATACCAAATTTAAGAATGTTAAATCTCACCTACTCTAATAATAATAATCTAATAGAAAATTCATATTAAAACATTCTAAAAAAATCATATTTTCTATAATTTAATTCCATTAATTAAAAAATTAGTTTATATCATCAAGCACGTAAACTAACTAAGTTAAAATTGTTTTATGTTAACCAATGGTATAGTTGATTTCACACCAAATTTAGTTCTCATAAAATATATAGAGAGAAAGATAGAATATTTAATATTACTATTACGGTGCAAAATTTATAATTAATTTATTTACATTTATGATACCCATTAGAATTCACAAAGAACACCTTTTTGGAAAAAGGTTATTTCTTCCACTTCAATTGTTTTTTAAGGAAAAAAAGATTGTTTTTACAGAGAAAAAAATTTGTAAAATAAGTTGTATGTTTAGAATAATTGATTCAGATATACTAATGATTCAATTGTAACATCATTAATTCAACACAAACTTGGATATAACATCATTAATCCAACATAAACACATATTAAACAAATATTATTTTAGAATTTAGGGTTTAGTCAAAACCTATACTTTTTCGATTTGCGTGCTACTAATGGGTGCTTATATTCAAATTTTAGTAAGAACATGTTAAATTTATTATTAGCATGAACTGATCCTAGATTCCGTCAATTATAGATATAATAACTTACCACATAACTAAATTATTTTTTATATATATGTTTAACAAATCCAATATATCTACGTAAGTTATTTAATTTTTTATTTATACAATTTTATATAATTATTTAACACTTTGGTGATCATTATATCAACATATTTTATTAT